GTGGCTGAGGCTGCAAAGGTTCGTACAGGATGAACTTTCAAGAACCGCGATTGGAAGGCAGCTGTGGGGGGGCCTTGTGTCCATCCAGGCCCCATGTCCAGCCAGGCCCCGTGTCCAGCCGAGCCCCGTGTCCAGCTAAGCCCCGTGTCCGGCCAGGCCCCGTGTCCGTCCTGGCCCTGTGTCCAGCCGACCCGGTGTCCAGCCGGGGCCCCCCCGAGCGGGCTGGGGACGTGGACAGGACTCCTGCAGTCTCCCATCCCCCCAAACTCCATAGGAAGCTTCGGGGCCAGGACGACAGCGGCTCTGAATGGGACACAGACGATCCCTCAGGAACACAGGCACCTGCCCGCTTAACACAGCCATTCCTGCGGCTGTGCGCCTCGTCCTCTCCACACTATTTCAGGGCTTGTCCATTTCTTTCAGGACCTGAAATATTCTTTTCCCCATTAGGCCAAGAAAGCGCCTTTGTTCTTCCACCGCACCTGCCCTGTGGGGCCCTGGTTTCCCGACTCACTTTGGGCAAATTCACGTTTCCAGTTAGTAATAGTAGCGCCACTCGGCACCCACACGCGAGGAGCTCGGGATTCCCACCTTCTCCTACCAGGGGAAGGGTCTGTAACCTGGACCCACCGCGCTGCCCGAGTCCCGGTCCTCGGCTGAGACGGCACCTGCTCCAAGGAAGGCCCTTGTCGCCCCCGAGTGGACGACGTGCCAAAGTGCGGGTGACGGTGCGGAGAATTCTGAAATCAGCTCTTGATGTAATTGGTAACTCAGGGTCACCTGGAAGATGCCTACTTCGTGCTATGGCTCCATTTAGAACAACACAAAGAGCGGTTTAAAAAAGACAGACTTTTCAACTTTTATTCTCAGGGTTTTTAACAGTTATATCTATTTGGCAGCTTGTACACATAAAGCAAATGACCCATCCAAATTTTTCATTTATTTCCTAAGAATGTTTAGTTTGAGGAAAAAATTATATCCATGTTGGCTCTTCACAAACAGCTTCAGTGGGTGAGAATGGACGTCTTCTCAGCACTCAACTGCCAGGCTTATGACAAGAAGTCGTGTAAAAATGCTAAGACTTCACTTTTT